GAGTGAGCCAATGTACTACTTTGGGACATTCTGTCATTCCAACATACATGTAGCCGAGTGGTGGGCACACCATCTGTGAATTAGACTCGGCGCCACCACCACCGGTGAGCCAAGCTTCTCGGTGATGCACCTAGAATGCGGCCATCCAATGTATTAGTCGACGCACTTGGCGGATGCATCATTGCCATGTCTGTCATTCGTTCGGGAAGACTCTGAAACGCAGATAGAAGCGAGAGGTATGGCCCTCCCACCAGCCAGCGAAAATCCTTCTAACTTTTCATGTCATAGTTCAATAGGTAGCATGGGACGGAGCGGCTCTGGCATCCTGTTTCCGTAGCGCCTATCAGCACATTCGGTGCCAACTATCAGTTTGAGCGACCGCTTGCCTGTAGCTCACAACTTTGATGTTGGTGAAGTGCAAGCATTGGCAGAGAGCTCATATATGCGGTGCCTATCGGGTCGAAAGCCGGGCCAAGGCGTGCTCATTTTGAAGTTGCAGGAGCTCATCCTATGAGTGACGAACTCCATCCTACAACACGGCAACTGAGAAGAGTCCATCTTTCCGTCCCGTATTTGGAGGGACGCCTCTCAATGCCTAGTGGCGGCCCTACATTGACCAGGATGGGAGATGCGGCCTACACAGCAACAACTTCAAGTGAAGACGGGCCGCGGACGCGGGCTCAGCCTGATCGGTGTGGTGCTCATCCCCGTACGCCTATCCCAAGGGAGCATTCGAGGCCGACCTACATATCAAAAAGTCCAGCCTACATGGTTCAAGAACTCGTCTTATTGAAGAGGCGACAGCTTCATCGCTCTGAGAAGCATGCAGCTTGGAGCCTGTGGGCGAGACCGGGCGCCAGGACTACATGTAGCCATTCGAGCCGGGAACCGGTTTGCTGGGTCTGCGGACTTCCACTCAGCTCGCTAGGAGAACCGCCGCGTGAATTTATCTTTCAAGGCCCATCACGCTTCACCTTACCTAGGTTGGCAGGACCAGCGATACCGCGAACACGCCGGCGAATTCGGGAAGCTCGCCGGGATGCCGCTGTCGCCATTGGCGGTACAGGTCACCGAATGTCGGATGAGAGTCTGGGAATCACGAAAAGTAAGTCGTCCGCGATCATAGACGCATCATAACATCATTGCCCTTGCGAGCAAGGCGAACAGTTGCCACGAGCGATCCATTCAAGGACTGCTCTTGGGAACCCCTATGGACACGTAAAGGAACGGCCCCAAGTACGCAACCGACCATCCGAGAATGTGACGTATGGGTAAAGTCGATGACAAGCTCCTGAGCTTAACCTTAACGTGCCTTACTGAGCTTTCACATCTGCTCGTATAGACTCCACGCCTCTCTCCATCTTGCACGCCAAGGCAAGTGAACCAGCCATTAACCGAGTATCCAGATATCGGACTGTTGAGTTTTCAGACAACAAAATGAAGATCCTAGTAGATTCGCCGTATATGCAAGGTCAATAATAATGGCATCCCCGCTGTCTACTTGTGACTTTCGTTGAACTAGGTGTACGAACGTCTGTATCGGTGATCGTTCCCCGTAACATCAGCCGTGAGCTGGGTATTTCACTGTTGCCTGGCGATGTCCAAAATGAGTCTTTACGGCGTGAAAATCCTCACTTGATAATCCTTCGCCCGATAACGAAAGCCTCCAGCACCTCTACGATCCTCTCACATCGAGAATGGCAGGTGCCTGGCGATGAGAAGTCCACGACGGGTGTGCGGCGGCGTCGGTGACTGATGGCTGACATGGGACGAAGGGGACCCGCTTGAGCGGCACAGAACGGTGCCGGGCCACGAAATTGAAGACTCTAATCTGAACGGGCGGATGCCCGGATACGTCGGCGGCCCTTGGAGAAGATCCAACCGTTCCCCCCTCCTCCTACCAAAGGTCCCCTACGGTCCCCTACGGTCCCGAAAGATTGGCAGCCTAACTCCGTAGAGAGACAACACTAAACCAACTGCTCTAGTGCCGTTGGGTCACCGGATTGATGCATTGGCATTGAGGCAGTGCTGGACCACCCCCTCCTCGAGTCCCCCCCAGTTCCAGCCGAGCCAAGCCCAGCCAGTCAGACTCGATGAGATGAGATTTTGGGGGTGCTGAAGCCTCGAAAGGATTTGTTGGACGCTGGGCGAATCCACGGCCCCGATACGAACGGTTGTCTAAACCAACGCCGGTGCTGGGTGAGGTTGGCACACTCTATCGCCCGTATACCATCGGCGGCGCCCTGACTACTGGACGAGGGCCGCCGCCAATAGATCCCGGAGCCTGGGGCGCCTGCTCGGGTACGTCTTGGCAACCTCGCTTGTCAAAGTTCAAAAAATGGTTTGTTGATGGTTGTCAATGTGAATCGGCGTCTTCGGGGCGGTTCTAACTTCCGACATACTCACTGGTCGCCAGCATCGCCCCTGTGGTAGAGATATCCCTTGCTTTGTGTACCCAGGTTAAACTACGTTTTCTATGCTGGCCAGTATGAACCTCAACATCCCATGCAGGAAAGCAGAAAAACTTCAGCTACGAGCTGCTAAGGCGGCAGAACGCAGTCGTCCACTTAGTGTTGGAAACTAGCATCGAAAAGGATGTGCGAGCGCTTGCGAGAGACAAATAAATGGGCCGATGTGATGAAGTCACGCACCTTGCCTGTCAGTGTCAGGCCACCCAGGAGAGGATGAAAAACATAAACCTCAGCCAAAGAAGTTTAGTTCCCCTTGTTGGATTCGTGACCAACACCAAGTTCCAACAAAACTGACGGGCGTTGGTGCGCCATCCGTCCAACCAACTCTGGTGTGTGTGTGAGAACTGAGAAGACAGAAGAATAGCGCACAGGCCGTGACCACTCCCTAGCTACCTTACGCAGGCTTCCTCGGTTGCTTGGCTTGGGGGGTCTTTTTTTCCCTTTTCCCACCGGGATCCCGAGGGTGTGCTTAAGCTTAATTCGATACTCAAATGTCAGCCACCACGCCATATCGGCCTCCATTCGTTCGACGGAATTCCGGGTTACGCCCCACACACAGCCATTTTTCTGTTGCTTTTTCCTCTCTTTTGGCTCTCGTTATCCCCCTGCTTGCTTCCGAAAGCGAATGCTGCTTCCGCGGTGGAGAATGAGAAGAGGCCTGGCATGCCTGGGGTTTTTGAACAATAACCCGCGGCGTAATAAGGATTCAGGGGGCGGTTCGCCAAATCACACATCATCAAAAACCATGTGGGATTGAGGAGCGGTTGGTTTATTTTGCTGACGCGGCCACCACCACCCCCGGAGCAAATCTTCTTAGCCTCTGAGCAAGGAGCAATGCCAAAAAGGAGGATGGGAAGATACGGATAAAAAAATGCGCACTAAATCGTCGACGGCGGGGAACTATCGATAGCGCCATCCTAGATTCCCTCGTGGCATTGGGAATGGAATGCGCGCCGGCAATATCGGTTCCGCTTGTTCCTCTTCGTATGGATATTCCCGCGTCCCATCCGCCCAATGTCTATCACCACAACCGACTACGAGTACAGTCAGCGTCCGTCTTCTTTGATAGCCCCTCACACCTTTCGGATTGTGGGGAGTCGACGGGTGATACTCAGCTGCCAGGTTGCAGCAGTGGGCACATTCTCGACTAACTTGACTACGGAGTAAAGTGACAAGTGTCAAGAACGGGAGAGACGCCGTTCTCGACTACCGCGTGCGCAAAAAAATGTGCCTCATCCCCACGTCTGACGGTCGCCGTGTTGTGTTCGGGATGCTTGGCTACGGATGGCAGTCTGCCAGTCCAGGTCTTGGTTGTTGACGTCCCCCACTTCAGGCGAAGCTTTTGCTGATCTTCCTGTCCCCTTTCGGGTGCTGGGTGGATGCCACTCACTCTCTTTCGGTTTTCGGACATGGACTCGAAGCCATGTCTCTAGAGTACAGAGGAACTGTGGCATCCATCTCCCTGTTATGGTGATGAAGGGCAAGGCAGGCGGGCACGCAGGTCAGCAGTCCTTTGACTCGGGCAGTCCATCGAGAACAATGCCTGGCTAGGGGCTCGGTGATGTGTGCCCTGTCTACTCCGTGCCCAATCTAGTAGATCGAAACCGAGCTGGACGCCAAACGTTCGCGTGCTTGTCTTTCATAAACAGCTCGTGCCAAGCATCTTGGGTAATGCTTGGCAGAGTTGGCGTGCGCATATCATGTCGGGAAGGGCGTCCATCCATCTCGTTCTCGCGAGAAAGGTGGTAAAGGGGGCACGCAGTGGTCACCACACTGACTTGAACAGTGCTAAAATGAAGAGATGGTAGCCGTTAAAGGCCCCAAGAGAGGCTCATGGCCTTGGCGTCACCATAATATCGCGATCTTCGATGGTCATTGCTCACGATCTGTCTTGCTTTCCAAGAGATTTCAAGACCCCAGAACACTGCCACACAATCTCCATCCAGTGTCTCGCCAATTATAGGAACGTAATTTACCTGTACCGAGGACGCATTCCACGGCGAACGATCAATCAAACTTTGCTTTCCGAGGGACGGAAGATCCCTTGCTGACGCATATTCGCGGTCGATTTGAAGACTTGACCAGTCTATTCTAGTCTGATTCGAACAGGACCGAATCACACAGTCCGAGCCCCTCTATAAACTCCCAATCCTCAAGAAACGTTGCCGATAATCACGTCGTCAGGTGTTGTTTGAAGCAGCCGCATAGCATCCTGATAGTAGAGAAAGAAGCGGCGTCCATTTCCGTAGTCACATCCACAATCAAAGGAGACGGGGAGCCCTGTAAATGCTATATCAGCTGTGGCACTGAGCACATTCTGGGTGACTCCTGAAATACTAGAGCCGATATACTACTCAATATCAAATCATCAATAGCAAAGAGGTGATCCTGCAGAGAATCGTGCTCGATGAGGCCAACATCCTTACGGAATCGTATGCTTGGGAGGGCTTTAGACTACTTCTCCTGAACAGCACTTATGGTAGCAATCCAAGAAGTGACGCAACGAGTAATTGATATGTCTAGATATATCGGGTATTGTAGTGTACACGGTGTTGATACAGAGTCCAGAGCCTTGTAATGTGGCACCGGACGCAAGATCATGGGCAAATTACAAAGAATTTAGACATGTGTTCCATGAAGTTTGAGGGTTCCGTGACATTGAGGGTAGGTGGTCAAAGATAGGGACGGCTTTGGTCAACGATGACCAAACCAAGTGATGCTCCGTGACTCTCAATTCTGACGGCGGCCTGCCTAGGCCCATCCGTCATTTCGATGAGCGACTTGAGATCGCCTTCAACATCGGCTTGCACGACCCTGTAATTTATGTGGTCTGATTCGCGTTGCATACCAAGTGAGACCGAGCCACTGGATGCTTGGTCCCTTCCGTCGTACAACGTCGCGTGTTTATCCCATGGGTATCGAATTCTGTCAACTGCAAGCCATGGTGTACAGAGCTTCGAGCTTTGCGATCAGGTCTCAGGCGTCGCGCTTGGCAGCTCGAGAGCATGGTGCACATGCACAAGGCGACTTAAGGTCGACGATCTTTATGCCAAGTGAGGTTGCACGAACGTCGCGCATCGCCGTGCAACTTCTATCGTACTGGTTTCATCAAGCCCGGCTTCCAGAATCCCAGGTAGGCAAAGCTTGACGAGGCACCGCATCGTGAATTGGTATGACTTGGCCCCCGGTTCATCCTAGACTGTCCGCTGACCGCCTTAGCAGTCGCACCGGCCAAACCAGCGTGGAAAGGCCACAACGTCTCTGACGTTAGGGACCCCCACGAGATAACTCAGCAATCTATCGAAGCCCAGGCCAAAGCCGCCGTGTGGATTGGATCCCCAACGGCGAAGGTCAACATACCACTCGAGATCGCTGCCGTTGGTGTCATCGCGTCCGCCATCAGCTGGAGAGCCCATGCCGCGAGCCTTCATAGTCTCCAATAAGTCCGTCAAGCGATGCTCACGCATTGAGCCGCCCGCAATCTCGCACAAATCAGGGACCAGAAGATCAAAGCAGTCGACTGTGTCACCTGGCAGATCGTAACCGGAAGTTGCGGTGTCTGATTTCCTCATGTAGAATGCTTTGATCGCCCGAGGGTAGTGGGTAACGAAGACGGGAGAATAGGCAGAGGAGTCGCTGGTGGCACCGAGAGTTTTGGCGAGGAACTTTTCATGCTCAGAATGCAGGCCGCTTTCCCATGTAGGCTTGATCTCGAACTGATGTTCTTCTGCCTGGAGCAATTTGATTGCATCGGCGTACGCAATGCGTGGCCATCTGGAACCTGGGCTCTGCATCATTCCCTTCCAACGACGCTCCACTTCGTCGATCGGAACCAGGTCATCTTCTGCTGTTCGTTTCTCCCCGGGCGCTTGTCGTTGGCGCAGTTCTCGCGCAGCACGAGTCTGATATAAGCCAGTGACCAAACTGCGGAGCATGTCTTCAACAAGGTTTGTGACCTCGTCTAGCTCATCGACGAAGCTCATCTCCGCCTCCAGCATGTAGAATTCGCTCATGTGTCTTGAGGTGTCGCTCCGCTCCGCTCGGAAGGTCGGCGACAATGTCCATACGTGTCCCAGAGACTGAGCTAACGCCTCAAGATGAAGCTGAGTAGACACCGTCAAGTACTTTGGCGAGCGGAAGAACATGTTTGCTGGCTTGTCCTTGCCCGTATTCGAGATTGCGGGTGTCTCGGTCGAGCCCGTAGTAACGTTGAAGACCTCGCCTGCCCCTTCGCAATCTGAAGATGTGATGATGGGCGGATGAGTTTGGGTAAAGTCTCGAGAGGCGAAGAATTGAGTCAACAACGCGACGGCTTCTGATCTCAATCGTAGGATTGCGGCATTCAGTGGTATTCTGGTTCGAAGATGGGGCATGGTGCGAAGGTAGTCAGGTGTTTGGTACTTCTTCTGAATCGGGAACGTCTGGTTTCAATGACGGCATTAGCGATCGTTTAGAGAAAAGAAGAGGGACAGTGAGCCTGCCTTTGCGTCAGAGGGGCCTAGGATTTCGACATGATCGACCTTCAACTCGTGACTTTGACCGTCTGTTTTGGAGGGAGTCCAGACACCCCGTAGGCGGACTGCTGCACCGACTCGCAGGTTCGCGCTGGGAGATTATCAGCAATCAGGGCTTCCGAGACAGTGGCCAAACTGGGGGATCTGGGAGGGACACACCTTTCTTCGTCGCTCCTTGATACCAGTGCCTGGATAGGCGACCGTGAAGAACCGTCGCCAATATTGACAAATCGATCCGTCTTCATGTTGCGAACAGACCGGACGTATCCATTGACGGCAACATCTTTAACTTCGGTTTCGGGCTTCCACTCTAGAAATTGGGCTACTGTCCTCCGTGATGCTGTAGAGAGGTACCGCCTGTGGATGGGTTGGACAAGGAGCCCAGATTGGCGCGCGAGCTTGCGCAAAGGGAAGGTTGCCGCAGTTCGCATGATGAAGACAACTTGAGATCTGTCAGACTACCGCGTCATGTTGTGGAGATGGAAGAATTCAACCCTCGTGATCTGCCAACAGCAGGGGTGAATGGTATAGTTGGACAGCCGAGGGGTTGCGACTACAAGGAAAGGAACGACGTCTTTCGCGACGACATGCGATCGATGACTGAGGTCGGAGCTTGAGAAAAAGTCTACGAATGGGAAGCTTCAATTCATTCGAGTGGGGCCCTATGGTCTGTAGAAGTAGATATACATGATCTTACACCTAAGATGTGTGGGGTAAAGGAGTAGCCAGACTTGGAGCAGCTGTCCGACACCCATGAGATAAGATAAGATAGGAAGTAGTCTTATCGATGGGAAATCCCCGGTACCTACCCAAGGTACGTACCGCCGAGTTGTCTCCTCGACGGCCAAGACAGCCACACAGCTCCTCCCGTCTGCATCCCTCCACACCACAAACATCTCCTCTCGAATCGGATGACATCCCCGGCACTCGACGTCTCCCCCATGCTCCAGCTCTAGATCTTCTCTCTCTGTACGCTTTGAACAAGACTTGTTATTGCCAAATCGTCCATCTTGCACGCACCATGCCTGATCCATATCCCGGTCCGAGTTGTGGCCGCAGAAACCTGGGCTTCGAGTCCTTGTCTGGCTGATCAAGTCCAATTATTGAAAGAATTCAACATTTCATCAGCTCCGCCCTCGACTCCCGAGACACCAAACACCGGACACGGGTGACGACTTCGGGATAATGCAGTTGTTGGCTAGCAACCCCATGACATGGATCTGGAATTCGATCGAGTACATTCTTTTCTTCTTGGTCCCGAACTTCGTCTCCCTTCAGATCGAGGCCGCAAACCCGAGTGGGAATCTGTCTGCAAGTCATGGAGAGCATGGGTCCGCATCCTCGGCGGACAAACAGACACCCAACGTAGCCTTGTCACCTCCCATCGATATTTTGCCTCACTTCCAAGATGAGCTCACATCTCTCTCCATTGCGCCCAACCTTCGGACAGGCAGCCCTGCCTAGTGGGGGCCCAAGAACCATGAAGCTGGGTTTTTTGCTTCTTCCATGCCAGCTTATTGCTTATTAGCCCGCGGTCTAAGCAAGGCACGGCACGGGCTGCTGGGACTCGCAACTATTCTCCCTCGCCATCTTTCCCTACTTTAGCTCCCGCCCCGCCCAAATTGTCTTCAGACCCTGGGTACGGATACCTCGCCTTAGCCAACAAGTCATGTACGGACCCTGGCTTCGACCCCCCGGTTGCACTGCTTGCTCCCATCGCCCTATCCCGGCTCGCAAGAACGCCTCAAGTGAGATCTTGGGAAACAGGAAGATCTCGTATAACTGCGGCAGATTGCAGTAGTATCTCGATCGGATCCCACCTACCAAGACCACGGGAAGACTGACGTGACACGACCCGGGTTTCTGTATAGGCAAGACATATCTCATCACAACCACGGCAAGCCCACCCACCCTTTACGCGCCCTTCCTATACACTACCCTGGAATGTCGCAGACTTGACTGAGATCCAGTAAGTATTGGTTACACTCTCCTCATACACCCTTCACCGCTCTCGCTTCCTGGAGAGGCGAAGCAATTCATTCCTCTGCAAAGGGGCCCAAGATGCCTCACCATGCTATTGTTTCTTTTCTTCCTTCCCGCGCTCCTGGTCTACAAGCCGCAGCTAGAGTTGCCTCCCGAGTGGCTCTCCATTGCGAGGGAACGTATTTAAAGCCACGAGTGTACCCCACGGTTGATGCTTCCCCGATCTCTCATTCCCAAGTCGTACCCGCCGCATTGCGTCTGATCAAGGATCAGTTCAACACAGCAACTCGACCTTCATCACCGCCCCAAGAATTGCCTTGGCCTGCCTTCGCGAGCTCACAATGCCTTCCTCGAAGCCTTTGAAGATCAAGCCCTCCGAGGTTGCGGCGGACACCAAGAAGAAACTGATCCCAGAAGTCAACAGATACTTCCGCGAGGAGTGGCCCCCGTACTCGGTTCTCTACTCTCAGCCGCTACTCCAGCTTCCGCTCAGCCGCCCGGCCTTCATGAGCTCAGACTTACCCAACTTCTGTAAGACTCACCCATGGCCGTCATAGATTATGCTTCGGAGCCACAGCTAACCATGGCAGATGTCGTGCATAGCGATCCTGTAGACTGCGCACTGGGCTGGGCTCAAAGTGAAGGAGTTCGGATCCCCTTCATCTGCGCCGCGAACGAGAAGCGACCCGGAGGTGATTGGGAGACAGGTGTTGTCGGTTACGAGGTATGTCGTCGATGGTGCGCCTTGTATGACACGACTCTGACTCGACGCGTTATGTAGGAGAGATTATGCCGTCGCAGCAATCTGTCAGCAACGTTGGGCTCTCCCCATCCGGATACATGCATGCCAACCAACTACCCGATCCCGATCGAAGGAGCCATCTATTCTCCCGATGTTGGTAGGCACATGCATACGACCTAGCATCTTGGTTATTCTTGACTAATGAAGTGTGCAGTTCGTTTCCGCCAGTTCCAAGACAGGATCGAGTCATTGGACATGAAAGATTGGAGGTCGCTGCCAGTTATTTCCATGCCGCCAGCTCGGTGGCCGAAGCTCACAGACATGGGACGAAAGTACTCTTTTTCGGAAGAGCGAGAATTGGTACGGAACAAGATGCGCGCCGCCTTGCGAATCTGCGTGTTCAACGGCTACAACCACGTTGTGATCGGCGACTTTGGCCTTGGCAATGGCTACCGCAACCCGCCCAAGGAGCTGGCGGAGTTGTGGCGCGAAGTCTTCCTCTACGACCCCGAATTGAGGGGCCAGTTTCTCGCCGTCATGTTCGCTTTCGAAGACGACAGACAATGCACAGCCAAGTTTATCCTCGACGACATCGCCAAGAAGACGAAAGGGAGCAGCAGCAGCAGCTCTTCGAAAAGCAAGTCAAAGAGCTCGTCATCATCAAGTTCTAGCGGCAGTTCATCCAGTCACAAGAGCGACTTCAAAATCTTCAGCGAAATCTTCGCGACGAGCGAGATAGCCAGAGTTCGGAGCCAACCTGACCCACGCTACGCCTTCTCTGCAATTATGGATGGGTCTTGACCGATTTGCCCTTGGCGCATCCTCGACCGGGTTAATGTCTCACCCATGGGTACTCGATGTGAGCCGGTGAGACCTGGCCGTACGTCAGGCTGGCTGAGGCGGTATACCCTGGGCAGATTCTTGTCTCGCCGTACGACCTGTCATGTCAACACATGGCTACCAGAAAGGTGTTTGTGTCTCGCAACACAGTCTATTCAGCACTACTAACGACTGATTCCCTGTCCAAGTGCGTTGATTGGCCCGCAATGACCGGGCAGGGGGCTCTATTTTTTGCATTATTCGACCGGGCTTTCAGTTCAGCGGCCCACGCTGGTTGCTTTTTCCGCCCTTGCACGTCGGGCTGAAGCTACTTGCGATCTCGAGGGTCCCCGGATCTACAACGTCGGGCGTCAATTGCCTGTTCCGGCCAGTAGGCTCGGAGGGCTTCAATAGTGGTCTTCGAAGTTGTTTGCCTATTTCCTTTTTCTTCTCATCTCGATTTTCGCGGGAATTCGCTTGCTCTCACTGGCGCACATCATTACACGCTTGACTTCGGGTTGGCGGCGTTGGGAGTGGTAGGACAAAATGGCTAGATCCGATGTAATTGGGAACTAGGAGCTTTTGCAGGTGTCTGGCGTATCCTTCTGGGTCAAATCACAAATCCCTTCATATTCCATATCCGGAAGCAATTCTCAAGCATGATTGTAATCTCCCTCTCTCCTCTGCGCAACACGGTTCGCTCCAAAGATGTAGGGGCGACTGGACATAGGGACAGGCATGGCGCGCGCAAATCTATTGTCCAGTGGCCATTGGTGTGTGGAAAAGCATTGCCTTGCAGCAGACGCCTTGTCTTCACCCTAGCAACGCGACCCTCCGCAAAGGGCCTGGCATTCCATGCCAACGACAACCTTGGCCACTGTGCTTGCTCAGCAGAACCCAGAGAAGGTTGACTCCCGGTGCCCAGCCAAGCCGAAGAAGGTAGCCAGACAGGCCAAAGGGGAGAAATGCCTTCAGCAAGACTGAATAGCGGTACACTATTTCGACCCGAAATCCCCGCGTCTGAAGAGTTTGAGTTTGATGCTGAGGCTCTCGCCCAAAACGTCTTAGCAAGAACGGCAAGGCCAACATCCGCGACCATTGGAATGGGCCAGAGTCGCTGGTCCTGCCCGCTCCTCTATCGAATTCGTAATTGACTTGTTCAAGCCATACTAAAGTGTTTGCCTAGGCACGTGCCGCAGCGCCACTTGACGAGAAAAAGCAAGCATACAGAAAGCCTCACCTGTCTTGCCCGTTTACCGGCAGCAAAACTCTGGCTCTCCAACGAACACTCAAGAATCGGTGTCTCTGAAGGGATAAAAGAGCGGGAGCCTCTGACATTGTCTTCCCAATACCGCGGTTGGTCAGGCTGACGAAGAACGATAGGCCGTCAGAGCTGAACATCCGAGAGTGGAGGGATCTTCGACCGGGATGGTGAGTGGCTATTGGAGGGCTGAGAAGACACCCATGTTTGCTTTTCCGGGAGCTGACATGATCTCAGGCGCAAACAACTCTGCACATGTCCTCGTCATGATGGGGGGGGAAAAGTCTACCTCTACCCCGAAATCCAAATACTTCACCCCTGCCTGCATGCCAGATCTTGACCGGGACATTCGATCGGCTGGAACTTTGGGTATCACTGCGTCGGCTCTCCCCACGACGACCCCCCACTCTCACCTACACAAGCAATGAGCTCTTTCCCTACCCTCTTGAGAGACAATACTGACTCTGGACACCGGTAAGGTGGCCCTTTGAGGCGGGGGGGGATCCGCGAACACGGTGAGAGGTCTATCACTTCTCAATTTTCCGAACCACTAGATGGCTGATGCGAGGCATCTTGCCTGTGACACATAGTACGGCCGAAATGCGCAAGACCCGTTACGGCCTTTATCTACGGGTAGAGATTTCGTGGGTCATGAGATTCCCGCCTTTGCACTTCTTATTCAAACATACGACAAACCTGCCTCCCTGCCTTGCTACCCGACTGACGGGGACACCACACCAGAGGTCCCAAGGACTTTCGAGGTCATAGGGAGGATCGCGGGACAGAAAGAGGGTTTATCTTTCGAACCCCTGGAACCGGGGGCTGACGCCACCAGGGCCCGACCACGCGGGACCGGAGGGCACTCCGCGGTCGAACATCCCGCAGCCCTCTTCAAATGCTGGCCCTTGCATGGTCCCCTGCCATCCAATCACACCTCGTCAGCTCAGGCGAGAGGTGCCGAGCTGGACTCCCTGCCAATTCCCCGATGTGGTCAGTTACACCAGACACGGACATCGGCGGAGGAGGGGGGCGGGGGGTGAAGATGCGAAAGACATTCCGTGAGGACTATCTCTCTTCAGGGAGAGTGCCCAATGCGAGAGGGATCTCAAGTTTGCCTACATTTTCTCTCTTGCTGTCCTTTCCCCCTGCCCGCCCTCTCTGCCCGCGCGGCAGTCAAGGGATACACTGGCGTCGCTTTAGAAACTAGATTTAGTGGGCAAATTCTGCCTTTCTTCAAATTCTTTATGAAGTGGTTTCCTGTTCTAGGCGGGGGGCTGAGAAGTGATTGATAGCGCAGAGTTATCGTCATGCCCCTGTATCATCAATGATGAATGTCGTGCCGCGTGCACATCCATCCTTGAGCGCTGCGTTGGACTCGTGAATGGCATGGGTGCGCGGGTGATCGCTGCTGCGTCGACGCCCAACCCGTCGTGCAGCACGACATGATACTCGACGGATAAAAGGAGTGGGACAAGGCGGCAACCCACCTGCTTCTCGTTCCATCATGTGCGGCAGAGCATCAGAGACTCTCTCGTGGTACATCATCATTTATCACGGCTCACCGCTTCGAGGATGAGAGACATGTAGGGCGGTGACTATGTATACCGCTAACGCTTCCTCTTCTGGCACTTTGAGCCGCCCAAAATAAGACGAGGCGTCCCCGGATGGAGATCCCGCCTTGCGTTGAGGAATGGAGTGTTTTCTGCTTGTCTACGGGTGGACTACTTATCTAGGTATTTCCCCCTCCTCTTCTGAGACATGCATGTAAGCCTCATCGGGGAGAAGAGGTCGGCACGGTCGGTTGTGGGTAGGCAAAGTAAGGTAGACGAGGAAGAAGGAAAAACGTATCGATCTTCATCAGGGATCACGGATTTGCTGCAGCTGCGCGTAGATCAGCTAGACAAACACCCCGACCACCTACTGAATACATCAATGTCGTTTCCTGCTGCCTGCCTGCCCGCCTTTCTATTCCGAGCGCCAGATTGACGGGGATGAAGGGGGAAGCAGAGAGGCCCAGCCCGGCGCGGGTCGATCGTCCCATATTGGACCCGTCCAGATCATGCACATCAACCTGATCCTGGTGTACTGAGAGAAACCTGCCATCTGGAGTTTGGGAGACGAGCGAGCCACAGAGGAGACGGGAGACGGGAGACGGGATGGGGGTTGAGAGAAGTAGTATGGATACCTAGGTGAGCTATGAGAAGGCCACTCAGGAGGCTGCATGTTTCAAGGCCCTTTAGACCCAATGACGTCTAGTCGTTCGTGTCCTGTGGTATCATTTCGTCTTGTCCCTCCTCGTTTCATCTGGCCTACCTTTATGCCGGCGTGGGAAACGGCCCAGGGGAAACGAGGCACGGCGGGTACCGACACCGTACGACCTGAAAATGAGCAAACTCGAAAAGGTAAATAAACAACCGCGCTGGCTGGTTGGAGCACCTAGGTAGGAACAGCATTGCGGAGCTATTCCCAGCACGCCTCCAACGGTCTAAACGTGAGGTACAGACACTACGAAGTAAGGAAAGCCACCGGCTTCGTGTCTCAGAAACCTTGAGCAAACGTCATCTACCGAGGGAAGCAGGTTTAAACAAAAGCGTGGTGAGATGTGACCGTGATGAGCAATTCCCCGCCCCTTCGAATTTTCCCACCCGGGTGATGTCGTGCGAAGCTTGGCGGAGGGAACTAGGGATTAGGTGGTGCATCTCGGGCGGTCTTCATTCCTCTGTGGTTGCTCCCGTGCTTGTGTGTGTTCTTGTCATATTTAGGCACTGGTGTTGCGTCAACCGTCACATTTCACATCTCACAGTCTTGCATCGAATTTCGTGCGAATATGAGGGTGTGAGTGAGGTCTTGGGCTTGGTTTTGTATGAATCCGGTGAAGTATGCCATGGAGTCTCGAAGTTATTGATCTGGGTGTGCCATTATGCCATAGTGCATGGCTCAATCTAGAAAGAAAGTACAAGACCGTTTTTCAATGGTGTTGAACGTAAGACAATTGTCGATGGGCTGCGGTCGCACTCGCAGGTGCAGGTCATTAGACGAGGTGCCATGAAGCAGTCGCAGGCAATGGGCATCGAAGGGGATATAGGGACCAGAATCGTGATTGTCCTTCAACAAGCATCGTCCGTTGTAGTCGATGGCCGAGCGGTACAATTCCAGCCTTGAATGGGCGGGAGCGTATGTTGGCTCACGGTCCTACATAATGCCATGGATAGCTTGTTTTTTGGTCATTTTTCGCCATAGTAATTTTGGTGGCGGGCGATGTTTGGCCTCGTGACTTGCTCTTTGGGTAGGTACCGGTACCCTATGGAATACACGAAATACTCAACACGTGTTAGGAGAGGTCGTGGGTTCGAGTTCGGGTCTTCTCGCGACTTCTTCCATTTTTGCGTTTATTCTACTATTGATGGAAAGTCTCTACTGATTACGATAAAATATAATCATAGCTGTGCTTGGGAGATTGGGGTGTTGCCTCTCGGAACGGCTCTCCAGATCAAGAGACAGTGCTGCTTTCTCCAGGAAAGACCGGTAGGCTAGGACGCTGCAGTCTAGTTCCCGCGGGTGGAGTTCTCACACTGAGGCGACGAGACCACGATGTGGCTTTGGCAGTGTCTGTCGTGAGAGTCAACGCACACGTAGTGGCCTGGGAAGTAGGGACATTACTCCTCGAAACTGTTATTGGAGATGGAGTCTTCCTGACCTCATCTTGGCTTCCTTGCATCATTTGGCCGGTGATACGGTTGGCATGCCATGCCGTCCGTGACAGTCGACAAGCTGATTGACGGTTGAGCGCTCGCCAAGATACGGCCAGTGACTTTATCGCATGCAGAGCAGCATGGGCAATGCCCACTTCAGGTAACAGAGAAGGACGCCATGAAGTCCTGTAGTAGAGGGCGCCAAGCGGGGCGAACAGGACAATTGCTCGACACTTCTCATCAACACAAAAGAGACTAGACAGACTCGTTCAGCAGTCCGCTGGAAGTAAATTTGAATGGTTGGTCACTACTTTCTTTTCGGAAACCCTGGACACCCAATGTATATGCAGTTCTGACAACGCTCAAACCATCGAAAAAAAATTGAACCCACGCCTCCGAGACTTCCGCTCGATCGACTGGCGCCTCCTACTCCCCCACACACAGTCACTTCCTCCTTGCCTCAACCCCTTTTACCAGTAGTTGGGTCTCAGGCCGGCGAAGCCTGCCAGCGCGTTGGCGTCCGTTAGCGGGTCCTCTCTTTTTCTTTGGCCGGAAAGCTATCAAG